GAAAAAAATATCTTAACCCCACAACAAAAAAAGTTTAAGCATAACACCAAGAGTCTGAAAAACACAACACCAAGAAGGTTTAGACACAACAACAATATGCTTAAGACACAACATCAAGAGGCCTAAGACACAAAACCCAGATGCTTCTGAACCAGCATCAAGAGTATAGGACCAAACACAAATAGGCTTTTGTCATAACACCAAAAGGCTAAAGTCACATTACCAATATGCTTGGGACACAACATCAAGAGGCTTAAGACACAAACCCAAGAGGCTTCTTACCAAACACCAAGAGGATTAAGTCACAACGCTAAGAGGATAAAGATACAACACGAAGAAGCTTAAGACACAACACCAAGAGGCTTGAAACACAACACCAATAGGCTTAAGACACAACACCATGATGTTTAAAGGGACTCAACTGAGGTTTTTTGACATGACGGGACTGGAAATATTTTTTTAGAGATTATTACTCTATTTGGTTTAGATCTATACTAATTTCTTATGTGCAAAATTTCAGATCATAAGTTCGCTCCGTTTTTCCAGAATAATTATCATAAATAGTGAAAAATGACCCAAAATTGAAAAGCGTTTAAACGCTTTTCACTCAACTCGGACTGAGAATAGCACAAGCATATGATTTTCAATGTGTTTCTTGTATATTTCTTAGTTATATTTTATTTATATTTCTGTTTAAAGTGTTCATGTTTATCTATGTGAAAAATTAAAATGGGATGTTTTAGGCTTATAAACCTCAGTGGAGTTCCTTTAAGACACAACACAAAGATGCTTTTAAAAGACACAACAACAATACGCTTAAGACAAAACACCAAGAGGCATGAGACACAAAACCAAGAGGCTTAAGAAACAATACAAATATGCTTAAGACTAAAACACCAAGATGCTTGGGACATGATACCAAGAGGCTTAAAAACAACACAAGAGGCTTAAAAACAACACCATGACGCTAAACACACAACAACACCAAGTGGCTGAAGACACAGCTAAAAGAAGTATAAGACACAACACTAAGAGACTCAAAACACAAAACCAAGATGCTTCTGAACAAATATCAAGAGGCTAAAGTAACAACAAAAAGATGTTTAAGACACAACACCAAGATGCTTCAGACTCAACAACAAGATGCTTAGGTCACAATAGCAAGATGCTTAAGATACAACACCAAGGTGTTTCAGACATGACAAGGGGCTAAAGACACGAAACCAAGAGACTAAGGTCACAGCACCAATATGCTTCTGAACCAAAATCAAAAGGTTTTAGTTAAAACAACAAGATGTTTAAGTCACAAAAACAAGAAGCTTAAGTCATAACACCAAAAGGCTTAAGACACAAAACAAAGGGGCATAAGACACACCACCAAGATGCTTCAGACCCAACACCGAGAGGCTTAAGTCACAACAACAAGATGCTTAAGAAACAAGATCAAGATGTTTAAGACAGGCCGAAAGGGTAAAGACACCAAACCAAGATGATTTAGACACAAAACCAAGATGCTTAGGACACGGCGCCAAGATGGAGGCTTTTGACACAACACATTGAAGATTAAGACACATCACTAAGAAGAGTATGACGTCATGCCAAGATGCATAAGACTCAACACCAAGAGGTTTAAGACCCAACACCAAGAGGCTTAAGTCACAATAGCAAGAGGCTAAAGATACAACACCAAGATGCTAAAGACTAAAACAACAAGATGCTTAGAACATGCCAAGAGGATTAAGACACAACACCAAAAGGCTTAAGACAAAACACCAAGAGGCTTTTGACACAACACCAAGATAATTAAGACTAAACACTAAGATGCTTCAGACACAACATCAAGATGTTTAATTAAAAAACACAAAGAAGTTTCAGACACAATGCCAAGATATTTAAGACGCAACACCATGAAGCTAAAGACATAACACCAAGAGGCTTAAGACACAACACCAAGAGGCTTAAGACACTGCACCAACATTCTTAAGACACAACACCATGAAGCTAAAGAACAACACCAAAAGGCTTAAGACACAACACCAAGACACCAAGAGGCTTTAGGTACAACCAACACCAAATGCTTAAGACACTACACCATGAAGCTTAAGACACAACACCAAGAGGTTTAAGACAAAACACCAAGAAGCTTAACACACAAAACCAAAAGGCTTAAGACACAACACCAAAAGGCTTTAGACACCAAACCAAAATGCTTCTGAACCAACATCAAGAGTCTTAAGTAAGAACAACAAGATGTATAAGACACAATATCAAGAGGCTTAAAGCAGCACGCCTCCAGATTCATGTTCATTTCCATGAACATTTTGAAATTGTATTTAAAACTAAAATATTGTGTCAGAAATAAAGCTATTTACATAATGCAATCGGCACTTACAATCCAAGAAAATTACCAAAAGGCGGTCAAAATATGCAAAACCAGCCCTTACTGCATAAGTAACGCAGTAGACATATGGTGATAAATACAAATGTACAACAAAAGCAGTCTTTAACCGCATATAACATGCAAAATATCACTTGGATCTTGATGGTTTTTACCTATCTTAAAATTTTAGTATATTTTTCTATATGTTGACTCATCTGAAGGCGTGCAGCTTAAAAACACAAAACATAGACATGTCATCTTTGTGCCACCGTAGGTAGACTATTTTAGGAATCTTGAGTCCCTCTAAGTGTAAAATTAAGAACTTCTTATTCTACCTGCATGCTGTTTTTAGACTGACAAATATAGACATGTTTGCTAATCGTGTATTGTAGCTGCCGATTTACAAAAATAATTTGTATTTAAATTAGCGTAAAGTGACAGTCAGAAGAAATTTTCGTTATAAAATGGAGAAAAATCAGAACATTCTTACACAACCAAAGCAGGGCGACAATGCCAGCTTGTGACGACTACGGCTTGATGTTTGAAAACGCACATGATCTTCAAAATCAGGTGAAATGTTGGTGTCCTGAGCAAGAATCACTGAAGACAACGATGTCATACCCAACAAGAGGTTGAAATACGATTATTATGAGGACGATAGCAGTGTCATGGATAGAGATATGAAGAATGAAGTCTACATCGAATATGCAGAGTCAACAAAGAAATCAAATATTCAAAAATGGCAAAATAAAGTAATAAATAATAATGTAAAACAAGGACTTTCAGAGGATGGGGCTGAGAAGAAAGCAAATACTAAACTCGAGAAGAAGACATTCAAGTGTTTTTTTGAAAAAGTTTACTACTCTCATGTTTCATATACTGAAATTGAAGGGACGTGTGTATACCAAAATAATGAAGTCTGTGGAGAAATATTTACAAAAAATGAAACTCGAACGTGTTATTCGCCTGACAGTGGGAAAATACAAAAGTTTACTTGAGGCGATTCTTGAAGGTTCTTACTCCAACGATGACGAAAGCGATGACAGCAACGAGGAAGATGACACCGATGATAAATGAGACGGTAAAATTAGTGACACGGATACAGATGACGATGAAATGAACTAATAAATAAGCGCATTAATATAAGATATGAAAAAATGACACTGTTTGAGCAGATTTATGTGTAAATAATAGTTTTGCATCCTGTGTGTTAAATGTTCAATATGTATATTTGAAGTTGCTTATATTATTTAAGTAGACAATAGTTTGATGTAAATAAAGTGTATATAAAAATTATCATGCCTGGCTTTATACTTTATGTACTGAAAGATGTTTCTGAGAAAGGCACTTTTATTTCAAAGGTAACCAAGGAAAATTAAGATCAGATTTTTTTTAACTTTGCCCTTGTTAAAAAAACACATCTCCTAGATACAGTTTTAAGGGAAATTTAGAACTTCAATTTTACCTTTATATTGCTTAACAAGCTGTAGGATAATTAAAGCAATACACTTTCAAAAGGGTAAGATAATCTTCAAACAAATTGTCACAAATTACACCAGTCAGAAATGCGTAGTCTCATAAAAGTGAATATTTATATTAAAATCTCACAATTCATGACAACTAAAATATTGATACTCACATTTTCATATCTGACCTTTGACCCGACTGCTCGTGACCTTGACCTTAGTCAAAAGACCCTGCATTTTTCCTCACAATGTTGAACATTTATGCAAAGTTATCTAACAACCCATCAGTGTATATAGAATTTTCAATATGGACAAATGCTTTCTGCTGACATCTAAGTGTGACCTTGACCTTTGTCCTACATACTTGCTTCTAGTCTGCAACGAAGCACATTTTCATTTCAAGATGGTGAACAATTGTGTCAACCCTACCTGTATGCGCCAAACTAAATATGGACATTTCATCATCCCTGGTGACCATAAACCTTAACCTGGATTAAGCTGGTTACATTAAGAATTATGAACATTTGTGATATAATCTATATATTCAGAACAGCTAAATTGTTCTAGTTATACACATACAGTGTATATCATTTTTTTTTCCTGATGGGACTGTAACCTTTGAAAAAGGAACCTGAATTTTGCACACTACCTCAAAATTGTAAACATATTTTTGCCAAAATTACATTCAAATTTGTCAATGCTCTTAGCAATTTTGCTCATTCATACACAAATGAAACAACCACAATGGAAGTTTTTAAAAAATAGCAACACATCAGGAATTTTTAATACACTTTATGTTCAACTAAAAATGAAGAATGAACAGTTTTGTACTATGATATAAACATTAATTCACTTAAAAACAGACTCACAATTTTTGAAATATTTAGCACCCTTAACAACAGTGGATGTCATTTTGGGGGTCATTATTCATGATATTTGACAAAATATGAAAACAAACAAAAGTAACAGATGATTTGGGTAAACAGTCATATTCATTTACACATGTGAGACAAAACAAATGTAACATGAAAGGCTTATATCACCCAGTGTTGGTGATAGGGTAAACCAGTACTAGATCACACAATGCTGATAGTTATAAGAGAATTCCATGGAATCTTAAAGAAGCTTGACTGAGGTCAAAAAGTCTAAAACTATATTTGAAAACATTACATAGATCAATTGGGGCAGCTCATGAATAATGAAATATACTAAGAAGTCAATTCAGGATTAAATTTTTAGTGTGATTCCTCACCCAATTTGAGCTTGAAGTATTTTACCACTTCATTTTAAGGTCATTTGCCCAATAAAAATTATTTTTCTGAAAGAAAGAAGAGTGTTGCAAATGATCAGAAATTTTGAACGCACAAAAAAAAATTAAAATATACACTCTCTAAGAAATATTCCAGAGCTGTCATGTCAATAAAAACTAAGAAGAGTCCCTTTAAGCACCTTCAAAATGGCAGCAAGGGGAGATAAACCAGTAATAAGAGAAACATCAACAGACATAACCCAAAGAATGAAACAATTCTTTCTTTGTAGCATATTAATTATTTTACCGGTATTCATTCAATTATTGTTCATAATAAGTTAGATTTTAATGTCATGAAAACAAAGATTTTTTTCTTTCAACCTCCTCAAGCAAATAAAGGATTTTAACAATAGAATCTTTTCTCAATTATATCTTACCAACATGTGATGCAACATTAAATAAACAAATTTCACCTTTGCTTTTATTACTTTGTTCTATTATAATTAACATGTAAAGTCAAACCTGTATTAAAAACAACCACCTATGAATCATCCTTTTTCAACAACAGTTTTATAATTTAATTGGATTTAGTACCCCCCCCCCATATACAGACCACTTGTCTTTAACAGTCATGCTTGCTTTCTCCCTTAGGTGGCCTTTGTTAACAGGATTGTAAGATTATCCATGACATAGTCCTTATACAAAAGATGGAACTTAACAATTCACAAACAGTTAACTACAACCCAATAATCTTATCAGGATCATTGATGACATCACCTCCATCAAACCCTTTGTATTTTCGCTTATATTTTATACTAGACACTCTAGTTGGTCTGCCAGGGAAAGCTGTGATTCCGTCATAAATATTATCTGTATCTGGGTGAAATCTGATATATTCTGTATTTATATGAAGATTTTTCGGCAAGTCTAATTTAGTAAGGTCCTCTAAAGCAGAAGTATCCTTTACTTCAACCTTGAAATACTTAAAAACATCTTGCACAGTATTCATGTCATTAAGATCAACACTAGCAATGTCATGATCCAAATCTTCCATCACACGAGTCAGCAACTGCAATAAAATCACAAATGTCTGACATAAGTAAGGTATTAATTATTCAAAGAAATAAGAATTTGAAAACTGCTGATTTATTGAAATTGGTAGTCAGCAACTATAATCAAATCATAGAAACTTGCCATAAGATAAGCTGATTCTAAAAAAAATCAGAATTTGAAAACCATAATGAAATTGGTAGAAATAACCATGTCTGTGAACTTTGTACAAGTGATGTTGAAGGTGAATTTCATCTTTTGCTTTTTTATTCTATTCATAGAGAATTACATCTTAAATATTGTATAAACTCTTCTTTTTCTACTGAATTTGTATTTTCCTTTGCCAACTGAATGTCCAATAACTATTCAGGCTATTGAGGTAATGATTTGATTTGCTTGTAAATTTTGTTGCTAATTGGGGATCAGTTACATTTGTTAAACTAGAAATGTGTCCGTAGGAAACTGATGCCCCTACTTCATCTGCCTTTCCAGTGGCATATGCATACATAAAGGTCAAGTTATACCTAACCTATTATTTTAACAGGTTTATATATCTATCTAAATAGTATCAAAATATAAATTTCAGAAACCTATGACTAAGGAATCTGTTTTGATTGATAACAATAGGATTTCACAAAAAAAAACGTCACTGTAACCTTGACCTTATTACCTCAAAATCAAGGGTCATCTATTGGCCATTTCAACGTCCATAACAAGCCACAATAAACATTCCTTCTAAAGTCACTGAACAGGATGTTCATACAGACGGACATACAACATTATGCTTCTCACTTTTTTAACTTGGCCATCTGTTTTCAATAAGCTAGGTGATAACTATAACAATTTCAAGCATCAATCTCATTTGCCATGTTGCCATGGAAAAAATGCACAGCATCAAAGGAATTTGGTTTTTACTATTATGGTTATAAATGTACTAGTTATCTTACATCAAACTTTTGCGCTCGATTATTCAGTTGTAAATCCATATCTGCTTGGGAACCATACACCTCTTCCACAATGTAAGATATTCTCTCGACAGCATCGGCAGGTGGTTGATATGACCGGACTTCCTCTATACATCTGAAGTATAAATAATCACTCGGGAATGTGGAATTTTTTTTAGAAAGTCTGAAGTTACCAGACTTCCCGAAAGTTGAAAAAAACTGTCAGACAATTGGTCTGACAAACAATGAAAATCTGTCGGACCGAAACAAAATCTGTCGGACCAAATAAAATTGATCAAAATCAAAGAAAAACTTGTATTTGTATTTCTAAGACACTTTTTGTTTTTTCGCCGTAAAAATCGGCACAATCCGTTGATTCATGTTCTGCTTCCATTTTTCATTAAATTTTATCTCAGGTCTATTCTTTTCATCCTTTTATTGCTGTTCTGCGCACTTTTCTGATGTAGATTTTCGGTTTTTCCCAGGTTTGGCATACATGGCACCTTTAGCGACGCCATTTTGTATACATGCGGCTTGGATAAAAGTCGGACAGTCGGACCGATCCGGAATAAAAAATTGTCGGACCTGATCAAAACTTATCGGACATGTCCGTCGGGAAGTCTGAGTTACAGACAAATTCTGCAAACCTGACTGTTAAATATAAATTCTTAATCCAGAAAATAGTCAGCAAACTTCTGTAAAATATGTTTTGATAACAGTTCATTGATAATTACACATAATATATAAGATGGCCAACAATGAAACATAAACTGATTATACATGCACTTGGTGTTCACTAAAATTGTTTTTTTTGTTGTTCTTTTTTGTCATTCAAGTTAAATGTCAGGATAAGATATTAGGTGGAGAGTTTAGCAGTAATGACAAAATGCATGTTAAGACACTTACTCCCTTTTCCTCACAGGTATAGCTGGAACAATATTTGTTTCGTCTGCACCATCCTCAATCACACTCTCTTCAGTTTCCTTCTCCGACCACCACTGCAAAGTCTTCAACTTGTCTACAAAGCCCATCTGTCTTGCATGTAACTATAAAAAAATTAATATATATCACAATAGTATCCTTGCCAACAATTCTGTCAAACAAAGTTTGTCTGTAGGTATATTTTTACTTGTGTTTAATTGTATTTTGTATACACAATGTTCCCTGGTTCTAAATGAGAACATTTCTGTTTTTCTCTAAGTTACTAGTACCAACTTTTACACAAATTTGAAAAAAATCAATGTTTTATCAATCGGTTTTATATCCAATTGGCACCAAGACTGGACGAGCATCTGTGTTTCTTTCCAGCTCCCCAAAATAAAGAAGGTCTTAACAAATCTTCAGAATATTGAATTTGTCCATGCACTTTTTAATTCTGATTACTTGGAGCAGAGATGACTGTTTGGGACAATGCTAGTGTTTTAATTTGACCCACTAACTTATTATTATTAGTCCATATGATATGAAAAAGGCAAATTTAATGTCAGAAAAATCCAGCAACATTTTGACAAAAACTATGGCATGGACACCTCAAATTTTAAAAAAGGAAGCTTTAAAACGTAACCAACACAGGTTAAGCCTTGAAACCCTTACATGAGTCTTGCACAGGCAAAGGTCACTTGTGAAAAAGTACCCCACCCACTTTTTAAACGTTATGACATTTAATTTCATTAAGATTTTAGATGTAGGTAAGTTAAATTTAGCATAACGTCTATGATAAATATTGAGTATTTGATATTTTAATGAAAACATGCAAGTTTACCAAATATGACTGTTGAGAACAAGTAAGCAGTCTGTAAAATCGGCGAATTGCATTTCGTGCTTCCATGGGCGCTGCCATCTTGGATTGTTATTCGGAATACTCTTACATTTTGGTGTAACCATGAAGAGGCTCCTACAAAAGATTTATCATTGTTCAAAAGTTTACGGGTTTACAGCTGCAGGGGCAGTTGCTATTGTTGGCATTGTGATCTATGAAAGAAGCAGAAACAATCCAGTATTTTCATCATGGACAACAAACCATGACCCGAGCGTAAAATGGGATTACAATTGGGATAAGTAAGAAATTTCATCACTCATGTACTAACATGTTTAACTTTCGTTTTTAACACATATTGCTGTAATAATCTACTATATTTTGAAAGCTACTCTTTAAAAATTAAAATACGTGATTCCTTAAATGAAATAATTTATTTGACAATAATTATTCATACTCAACAGTTCAATCTGACCTGACACTGTGACTGATCCATATTTCTCTAAATGAATCACATGACCTGTGACAGGACCAGTTACATTCTTTAAACTATATATATATGTATGTCACCATAGAACTTTTTACAAATTAGTGGAGGAGTTGAATAAGGAGTCAGACAGCTCAGTCGGTAGAGCTGTGAAACGGTATTCTGATCAAGGCTAGACTCACCTCTAGAGTGACATTTGGCACGGATTGAAGGCCAGAGATGGTATAGTTACAATGTATAGAGTTACTGAAAAATAATAGTTAAAGAGTTACTGAAAAACACTTTTAACGAAATTAGAGGACGAATTTCAGTATACACATAGTCGGAGAGTGTGTCACAGTTCAGAACTGTTCACTAATAATTATAAAGGGAGAAGATGTGTAAGCAGCAAGATTTCTCTGTCACAGTAGAGTCAAATATCACCAGAACAGGTTTGAAACATTTGCAGCCTAACTTGAACTCAGTCAAATGCTTGACCCTCAGAATACTGTTCTGCATCTTCAAATGCTTGACCCTCAGAATACTGTTCTGCATCTTGGCCTATTGAGCTTTAAGTATAGGTTATACAACCAGTGAAATTGCTCTATTTTAGACGAGAGCCGGAAAGTGTAATAAAGCCTCCAAAAGAGACAGCGACTGATGATGAAAAACTCCAGTACAAGGAGAAGCTTAAAAAGGTTCCCACAGCAACCAGACATATCATATTGATTAGACATGGCCAGTATTATGACAGGGAAAGTTTAGATATCAACAGGAAATTAACAGATCTAGGTTTGTTACTTTTTATGCCCCCACAATGTGGGAGCATATAGCGTTGCACTTGTCCGTCCGTCCGTCAGTCCGTCCGTCGGTCAGTCCGTCCCGAAATCTTGTGAACGCAACTCCTCTTAAACCGGATGACAGATTTTGCTTAAACTTACAGGGATGAACAACTTTAATGTGTAGATGGTAGTAAAGGAAGGAATTTTTGCTGCGACCAAATTTAACAGAATTATGGCCCTTTGTTGATTTTTTTCACTAGATACTATGTAGAAATTTTGTGAACGCAACTCCTCTTAAACCGGATGGCAGATTTTGCTTAAACTTACAGGGATGAACGACCTTAATGTGTAGATGGTATTAAAGGAAGGAATTTTTGCTGCTACCAAATTTAACAGAATTATGGCCCTTTGTTGATTTTTTCACTATATACTATGTAGAAATTTTGTGAACGCAACTCCTCTTAAACTGGATGGCAGATTTTGCTTAAACTTACAGGGATGAACAACCTTAAGGTGTAGATGGTAGTAAAGGAAGGAATTTTCGCTGGGACCAAATTTTAGAGAATTATGGTCCTTTGTTGATTTTTTCACTATATACTATGTAGAAATTTTGTGAATGCAACTCCTCTTAAACCGGATGGCAGATTTTGCTTAAACTTCCAGGGATGAACAACCTTAATGTGTAGATGGCAGTAAAGGAAGGAATTTTTGCTGCAACCAAATTTAACAGAATTATGGCCCTTTGTTGATTTTTTCATTATATACTATGTAGAAATTTTGTGAACGCAACTCCTCTTAAACCGGATGGCAGATTTTGCTTAAACTTCAGGGATGAACAACCTTAATGTGTAGATGGTAGTAAAGCAAGGAATTTTTGCTGCGACCAAATTTAACAGAATTATAGCCCTTTGTTGATTTTTAGTTTTCAACTTGTGGCACATGTAGTCCAAAAAATATTTGACCTAGAGTCATAAGATTGACAGAACAGTGGCGTGTGGGGGCATCCGTGTCCTATGGACACATTTCTAGTTCACTTTTGACTTGAACCTTTGGCATTTGATATTATTCTTTCAAAGTTAGTATGTTAGAAGAAAAAAGCTAATTTTAATATCAATGCATTTTTGCAAATTAGAATAACGTAAAAGACAATTAGGAGAAACATCTGTGCAGCAAGGCTTTTGCTTCTCAAAACAAAATATTGACTTGGGTGACCTGAACAGCACATTGACATTAACATGCTAAAATAAATGATTAAAAAAGGGCCAACTTAGGGTAAAATGCCATGTCCTTACAAAGGAAATATTATAGTTTCATACTTATTTGGGAATTTGAGTCAACAGTTTTATTTTACAAAGCAAATTATAGTTTGGACATTGTAAATAGCTTTAAGGTGCCTCAAAGTGCTTGTGAATATATGCATTAAACACAGAAATACTACTTTTTTGTTTAAATGTTGTTGTGTTTTTTTGTTGTTTTTTTTTAAAGATATACCGTACTTAATTAAACATCTGATGCATTTTAGGCCGGGAACAAGCGCAACTTACTGGTGCAAGATTAGTTGACATGAATTACCCATGGTCCAAATTAATTTGTTCAACAATGACCCGTGCACAAGAAACAGCTGACATAATTCATAAACAGCTTCCAGATCTTCCTAGAGAAGAGTGTGATTTACTAAGAGAAGGTGCTCCTATACCTCCAGAACCACCCTCAGGTAACTGGAGACCAGAAAAACAGGTAATTAACAACAATTTCTTGTGGAGCAGACTGGTGTTTCTGTTAGTTTTACACATGCAGGAAATTTCATCTGGCATGGGGGCGCCAGATGAGTCGCATCATTTTAGTGCATTTAATGAATTTTACCGTTGTAGATTTATTTCCTGTATAAATTTATTTATAAATTTTATGAAAATCTCCAACTTTCAAAGAGGAATTTGTGATATATTCTGTATTCACAAAATTAATATATTTTCTATATTTCATACCATTTGGTTGAAAAACAGTGCATGTAAACTTGCAATTGGTGAAGATTTTACCTCACAGACAAATTTCAGAATACATGTACATATATATGCTAGTACTCAAATAAGACTGGTAAAAATTCATTTAAAATAAGTGTTTGATTTGTATCAGTTATGAATTTATGCAGCAATTAATCTGTGGTTTACAACAATGATGCATTTACATTGTATTTATGCCAGTACATGTAAAACATTTATACCAGTATTAAATTTATACCAGTAATATGTTTATACCTGTAATACACTTATGTCAGTAATACATTGTAACAGAAATACATATAGCAGTAATACATTAATACCAGTATTACATTTTCACTGGTAATACAATTTTACCAGAATGCATTTACACTGGTGAAAAATTTATACCAGTTATACATTTACACTGATAACATAGGTAATTTTGTGGTATTACACATACAGAAACACTGTCAGAGTGAAATATTATCTGTTGTTTCAGCAGTTTTATAAAGATGGTGCTAGGATTGAGGCAGCGTTCAGGAAATACTTTCATCGAGCTGACCCTGAACAAACCAATGACAGTTACGAGATCGTGGTGTGTCATGCAAATGTGATAAGATACTTTGTATGCAGGTAAAATAGTCATTTACTAGTATGACAAGTATGTGGTTAGTTTTCAAACATTACAACTTGATGTTAAATGTGGTAAACCATGTACAGACAAATGCTAGTTGCTTGTACAGCCTAAATGCCTAACAAAACCGGCTTAGCTTGATAATAAAAGAATGCCAATGGCTGTCAGGTTTGATCCTCAAGCTAAGCTAAATTTAATTTCATTGAGATAATTCATCTTGAGTCTATTGGTCATTTTTCTATTTTTAAAGTATAGTCTTATTAGAAATTTGTTTTTTTATCTCTTACTAAGAGGGTAAATAATTAAAGAAAAACATCTTTAACACTTGTTTCAAATACAAAATGTACTAGTAAATAATAGCACAGATAAGTTAATTGATATAATATATAATCATGTTATAATGTAAGTATAGCACAGATAAGTTAATTGATATAATATATAATCATGTTATAATGTTTTCAGAGCGTTACAATTCCCTCCAGAAGGCTGGCTACGTATAAGTCTTAACCATGCAAGTATAACATGGCTGTATATAAGACCAAATGGTAGAGTAGGCCTTCGTACCCTTGGAGAGGCGGGATTCATGCCAGTGAACAAAGTTTCTGTATTATGATCAAAGCTTACCGGTAGGGCTATATTTTCAAGGTAAGGTACGTTTTTTGGTTTTTTTTCATTGGGCTCTTTGTCTTTGCACTGACCTTTCCTTCAAGTCTTTGGTCACGTAACTTTCTCTCATAGAATCTTTATGAAGATATGTTTTAGGATTTGGTGTCAACCATTGGTTGGAGTTTTCAAGTCAATTAGGGTTGATGTTATTGAAGCTAAAAATAGATTTTTCCCACATAGTAAAGACCATGTTTTTAGCTTTTTCAAGAAATCAGCAAGCATAAACTTAATGGTGTTACCAATATACTAATTCTAATTCTATTTTGGTTGGGTTGTGTAATAGAGAAAAACAGAATCTGTGACAAAATTGAAATTGTAGGCTTGTTTAGACAGTAGTTTATTTGAAAGAATTTTAGAATTTTCAGCCTATGCTCATTTAAAATTGTTTACATGTAACTAAGTGGTTATTTTAAGTTTAAACGTTTCCTGTAACAACTTGAAGGAGTGCCTTTGTTATCATTTTAGAATAAAGAGATAATCATTAAAAATTACACAATACTTTGCTTTATTTCAGGTTGTTTCAAGGGATGGACCACTTCACAGGGAAACTGTTGTTTACGAGTCAAGCTGTTGTATCTACGTTGTTAATCTATGGGCTTTGACTTCTGAACTTTAAATATTTAATATGGATCTCTATTTGTTATAGTCATTTGGTAATGACTGGAATTAAAATTTTAAAAAATAAAGTTAGGTTTATACAAATATATTTTCTTCACAACATGAAATGGTGGGATATTTATCATAAAAAGTGTTGATTTGAAAAAATACGACTAAAACTGGCAAATATAGGTAGGAGGCAAAATTCTTAGCAGTGACAAAGTAAGAAAAATATGTTTTGTAAACTCATTTGATAATAATAAAAAATTTACATCAGTGAAATTTTTTCATTTATTTGTTGTGTATTTTTCAAATGAATATTTTTTTTGTGAATGATAAAGGGTGCTTTTCTCCTGCAGGAAATGTTGGGTGTAAAATACGAGGGATGTGCAAACATTTTTTTCTCTCTTTAAAACCTAAGTGTTTGATTTTTCATTTTGTATAAAAATAACACAAGACGGATAATTGTGAGCATGTAATAATTTGAAGCTAAAAATATTTTGAATCTCTTTCTTGTTGCAATAGTGAAAGCATTTGGACTCGTACTGCATAAAATACATTAGTCATTAACGTATATTTCATGGGACACCTTTAATCAAAATGTTTGACCATGTTTTAAAGCAGTATGCCTCCAGATGAGCGAGAATATTTCAATAAATTCAAACTTGAGAAAAATGTACAGAGATTTTAGGAAAAGTAGAAAGATTAAAGTAATAATTTAAATGTTATGAGCAATTAATGGTTAATTTTTCAATATAAGTAGCTACCGGTATATTGCTTCTGCTTACTAACACAGTAAGGGCAATTTTTGCATATTTTGACTTTTTTGTAATTAATGTGGGTTGCAAGTGCCATTGATAATGTGAAAATTACTTCCTTTTGGTTACTTTACAACATTATACTTTTAATAACATTTTCATATTTTTCATTAAAATAAGCATTAATCTGGAGGCGTGCTGCTTAAAGGGAGATAATGTTCTCATTTTATCATCATAAAGTAATGAAAGAAAATTGTTCAAGAAATTTTATACATAATTATGATGATTGACTAAGGCATAATTGTCTATTGAAAATAGCGCAACATTTTATCATTCATGCAAGAAAATGTATTTTATATATAAAAGACAATCTGTTATCATGGGAAATAAATATACATTTCGTAAGAAATATCATCTTGTTATCTCTTGCATTATATTTCCAGCATTATCAATTGCTGTTTACTGTAACCCAACAAAAAGAAAACAGAAAAAAAATTAATATCACATTCTACAATAGGCACTAAAATATTGCAATTTTTAGCTCGACTTTTCTATGAAAAGGGGAGCTATCCTACTCGCCCCGGCGTCGGCGTCGGCGTTAGCGTTGGCGTCACACCTTGGTTAAGTTTTTCGTACCACCTCACTTTATTTCAGAAGTATTACAAGTATGGCTTTGAAACTTACCATACTTGTTCACCATCATAACCTCCATCTACAGACAAGAGTACATAACTCTGTCAAGGTTTTTGACAGAATTATGGCCCTTTTTTGACTTAGAAAGTGTATTGAGCTTGGTTAAGTTTTTTGTACCACCTCACTTTATTTCAAAACCATTGGAGGTATTGCTTTGAAACTGACCATACTTGTTTACCATCACGACCTTCATCAACAGACAAGAGGACATAACTCTGTCAAGGTTTTTGACAGAATTATGCCCCTTTTTGACTTAGAAAATACATTGAATATGGGTAAAATCCACTTATTGCCTTAACCCTTTGAGATATTGCTTTGAAACTTTTAATGCTATTTCACATCATTACCCCCATCTGTACGCAAGAGAAGGTAACTCTGTCAAGGATTTGTTTTAAAAATTAAGGCCTTTTATCGACTTAGAATCTTGGTTAAGTTTTTAGTACCAGTCCACTTTTTGACTGAACTGTTTGAGATATTAATTTGAAAGTTGGAATACTTGTTTACAATCATGATTCCCAAACATGTCCAGGAGAAGGTAATTCTGTCAAAGATTTTATTTGAATTATGGCCCTTAACTTGTATTGCCTTTTACTGCAAAAACTTTTTTTATTGGCAAGCAATAAAAAAGTCGAGTGCGCTGTCTTACGGACAGCTCTTGTTGTACATCCAATGTATACTAAAGATTTTTTATAGTAATGTAAAATTTTAAAACCTTATTTTAGACCTTCAAATATTTTGGGGATTTGTTTCATGTCTTGTATGTTAATGTTAAATGATGACAAAAATAACTTGCTAATATTAGCAGACAGAAGCTGAAAAGAGTAAAAATAGTAATAAAGTTTGTCATTTCTTTTCTCTGGACTGCATAAAAGTTTTAAGATATTTGTAAATTTCTAATACAAAAAGCTATATGCAAATGTCTAAGCTCTTTTGCATTGCAATTTCACTCTATTTTACAATGTAAGTCTATATAAAATAAGTGACCCCCAGGGTGGGCCAGTTTTGACCCCAGGAGCATGATTTGAATAACTTGAAGAGGTCCACAAGGTGATGCTTCATGTAAAATATCTATGCTCTGGGTATTGGTAGTTTCACAAAAGAAGATATTTTGAGATAGTGTTACTTTATTTACTACATGTACAGTTTCAGAGATTTTTACTTTACAAGTTTATGTAAAATAAGTTACCCCCCTAGTGGGGCCATTGTTGACCTCAGGGGCATGACTTTTACAAAAAACTTTTGTAGAGATCCACTAAGCAATGCTACATGCCAAATATCAAGGCTCTTGGCATTGCAGTTTCACATAAGATTGTCCATGCCTGAATAATGCAAGGATGGGCACCCAAGGACTTACTCCACCGGTAAAGCTGGAGTCACCGTACGACCTATACTGTGTTTATGTGATGTTAAACCCAACCAAAAAGTGTTTCATAGGAGGTTATACTTGCTCATGCATGAAGCCAGCTGTACCAAAGTTTCTAATTTTACCTGTAACCATGTACACAATTGTTTTATGTGGCTGTCATTACTAATTGTTATCTAAGTGGCATCCTATTGTTCCACACAAAGTTCTTCTAGCCACACAAAATATTTTTTCTAGAATATAATAGAACAAGATCAGCTTGCATGTTTACATAGACCTTTCCAGTGTTTACAGTTTTATGTAAATTGGCTAACTTGTTATCCAATTGCTACACTGAGATAACTGGTTGACCTGGTTTGCACAAAAGAACACATGGTTATGTTTGTGATACTGTTTGTGAGGAGTTAACCTAGCAATTAATGGAAAAGGTGTGGCTAAATGTTCTGCTACGAAAAACCGGAAAGTTCCATTGTATACCCAAACCAGACTACTGTTTACAATTTCTGAAGAAAAGTTCTTCAGTGTGTATCAGAGGTCCTTTTAAGTTCCCACTGAACAAGTGTGCAGTTCAGAGGTTCTTTTAAGTTCCCACTGAACAAGTGTGCAGTTCAGAGGTCCTTTTAAGTTCCCACTGAACAAGTGTGCAGTTCAGAGGTCCTTTTAAGTTCCCACTGAACAAGTGTACAGTTCAGAGGTCCTTTTAAGTTCTTACTGAACAAGTGTGCAGTTCAGAGGTCCTTTTAAGTTCCCACTGAACAAGTGTGCAGTTCAGAGGTCCTTTTAAGTTCCCACTGAGCAAGTGTACAGTTCAGAGGTCCTTTTAAGTTCCCACTAAATAATTGTACAGTTCAGAGGTCCTTTTAACATAAAAGGGCATCTGAACACTTAAAAGTTTTAAGTTCCCACTAAACAAGTGTGCATCAGAGGTCCTTTTTTAAGATCCCACTGACCTTAATCAAATTGCTTTCTTATTATAGAACAAGTTCATATTTAAAATTCACGTTGAACACATGCAGATAATAAGCTAAGCAAATGTTTTTCCTAAAACTTTGATTCAGAAATGATATCAAGACCGCCACAGTGTTTGACATTTATTTTTCTTCACAGACATTTACAATGTTACATAAACACAATACTACAAAGTACAGAAACATACAAAGCTTTAAACAACGTTGCTACCTTCAGTATTTTGGTAGGCTGTCATTTGTAAACTAATTGTTCAATTTCCTTTGACCATATGTGCCAACAATTTGAGAAAAAAAATCATCTGCTTACTAAATTTTAGAAAAATAGTAGTAAACTTGAAAGATATTACAAAAAAACACATTTTGTATGAAAATAATGATAAACATTCAAGCCTGGTATAACCTTCTTTCAATGACTCCAAATTATTATGTACATCAGACCAGCTTCTGTACCCACATATCATAATACATTGTATGTAAAATTGTTGAATAATAACATCAAGTTCCTTTCATACTGTCACTAAAACATATTTGAACACAATTGATAATGCAGTTTCTTCCAGCCAAGTAACTGTTCTTATAATATTAATGCTTTCCACATAGCAATTATTACCTCCCCTGGCCTCCATTTTGAGGGTCATTCACAATTTATTACATGCATAATGCCTAACATAAGATAAAAAGCCCTTGTAATTCATCTTTATGAAAACTGATGAAAAGCTTTCACATATATGTGCTTAAATAATATTTTCTATCATATGTGTATAAAAGAATTTGACAATTTGACTAAATCAGCTGTTTATATTGACTTTTTTCATATTCTGTCAATAATATAAAGAATATTGATCCCTCAAAAATGGCTGCCATTTTTGGCAAGGGAGGTAAATATTGTAAAACTCAGGAACTACTATGCCACAACAAGTGATGGTTCCAATATGAATAGGCCGGTTGATACTGCTCCCTACCACAATGACTCCTCCCATCATGAAGTTCACCATGAAGGTGCTGTATTTGCTAATCGTCTCATACGTCTGAAATAAAACATGTGACATGTCTATCAGTCTGCTTCTTCATTAACAATCAGTTACTATTGTATGAAACTTTCAAATTATATATTGAATGAAATATATCACCGAGAAATGTGCCATAGGACACTGATATTCAACAAGAAATCCTGTTTAATCACTGGTGTGCATCATCATAGCAGTTTTACTTCTTGAGATACATGTGAACATCACAAAGTCTTAAGTTTACTAAATTTTGCTAAATCAAGGTCCATAACTTTCCTAATCTCTAATGAATTTGTAAAATGTTAAAAAATAATTGTCATGCTTACAAAAATCCTTAGTTTAATGGCTTTATTAAGGTGCACAGCTATGCCAATCTTTTAAAAATTTGGTATTCTTAGAAAGATTTATGGCTCAAACAGTTCTACATTTGGAGTAACAAGAGACACAAGAGCTGACCATGGAGCAGGGCGTTCCACAAAGAAGTTAACAAACAGTGATCTTGACTTTTGACCTTCACATAAGTGTAGTTCATAGAACTCATTAAGGTGTATCTAAATACAAAGTCTGAAGTTCCTTAATCAATGCACTTTGATTTTATGGCAAGTTTTATGTTTGGCTATTACAGATCAAAGTGACCTTTGACCTTTAGCCCTAAAATTGGATGAGGCAGGTAAAACTTATCAAGGTGCATCTACATACAAATTTATAAGTTCTTTGCTCATTGTAGCATGTACTTTGAATAAACTGCCAGTTTTATGCTTTATTATTTAAGGTCCCAGTGACCTTTGAACTTTAACCTGAATATAGGTAAAGCAGGTAGAACTCATCAAGGAATCCTACTATTAAGTTTCAACTTTGTTTTGTAAGTGCTGATGATGACAGTAAGTGAAAATTATCATAAAAAGTTAACCAACACTGATATCAACACCATCATGACAATAAAAACGCCTTTCCTTCGAATGGTAAACTTTAAATGCCATTTTTGCTGAATCAAAGAGGATAACTCTGCTTTTTCTGCAATGAATTTGCATAAAAATACCCAACAGTATAAGTTTACATATAGACATCTATTTTTAAAAAGTTTCAGGGCTACACTTTTGGAATTACACATGACACAATCTGGTCTATGTTCAGTCAGTGTGACAGCAAGCTGTGGGATATGGGCAAATCTACAAGCGGTGGGGGGGGGGCATACAAATGCTAAAAGATATCATATATTAATGACAAAGGACATGAAAATTTTGACAAATTGCTATATGACAAAACTATAAAAAGTTACTGTCAATTACAATATACTAAACGGTAAAATTAATGGAGTTGTTGTCAATAAAAAGACAAAATGCTTAACAGTATAAAATTTTGAGATCTACACGGTAAAAAAGAAAGAGAATTTATGATGATATGGTTTATAACATGAAATAAACAAAAAATATTTATTTATAGATGACCAAAAAAAATAAAGTCCCTCCATGGTGCAGCATACTCTACTTTTCTCAGTGCTGAATTGCAAACTGTACATATTTCAAAGGGTGATATTGATCACTTGACCCTAACCCCAAAGTAGGCTTGGGCAGCAGAATTGGTCAAGATGCATCCATACATCAAGTTTTAAAGGGACTCCACTGAGGTATTTTGACATGATGGGACTGAAAATATTTTTTCCAGATAAATGTACCATTTGATGTAGGTTTAGACCACTAATCTTTGTGCAAAATTTCAGATCATTCGCGCACTTCGTTTTTCCAGAATAATTATTCAAATTGTAAAAAAATGACCCAAAATGAAAAGCGTTTAAACGCTTTTCACTCAAATCGGGCTAAGAAAATCATTAAAATACGATTTTCAATTTATTTCATAGTATATTTCTTAACTATCTTTGCATATATTTCTGTTTAAAGTGCCCCAGCTCATTTATGTAAGAAATTCAAATGTTATGTTTTTAGGCTTTTAAACCTCAGTGGAGTCCCTTTAAAGTCATTTGAGTTATTGACATAAAAATTTCATCAAAATAGATACAAAGGTCATTATGCTTTTTACCCAAAATGAGTAGGGCAGGCAGGACTTATTAAAGAACATTAACATACAAAGATTGAAATTCTTACATCAATGTTATTTGCTTTAATGGTCAATTATTTATCTTAAAATTACAGGTCCTTGTGACATTGACAGGACAATAGGGTGTTGCAGGTGTAGAACTCATCTAGGCACATGTACATCCAAATATGAAGTTTCAATAAAGCATTAAAGTTAATGACCATAACTGAAAAACTTAACAAAAAATGTTAATGAATGCCTACAAGTAGGTCATGACAACTGCTGGAAAAGCAGATGTTTTGATGTCCTCTATTATAGTGAAATCTGGGCCTCTCAAGTGGAAGTTTTGGAGTCAGTTACTCCTTAACTTGGCTTTCGAAGTCCAACATGTAATGTTTTTCCTTCTTTACCTATAATATATGATTTGCAATGTGAAAGATTTCGCAGTCTCTGACTTCCAAATTTTGGAACTTAATGGAAGCCCTGTGAAATGATTGGTCATTGCAGGGTAGATAACCAGTCGATTTTTTTTTACAATATGACACAGCAAAAGGATGACACTGACCTGGTATTTCTGTCTTGATCTCGAATCTTCTTCTCCATTTCCTGATCTGTAAGAATCTCAAGGAAAGGGCACCAGTTGTCGGACTCATTCTGGTTTCTGATGGCCACTTCAACAAGAGGCAGGGGTGTTTCACTGCAATCAGTATGCAAACTAATTAGAGAAATAGAAGAAAAAACAATTGCCGTTGTTAATTAGAGTTATCATCCTATATAATAAATCTAAAAAAAATTTAATGACCTATGCATTGTTCTTTCAAAGAGTTCATAATGTTTACATACTTGCTGTATTTGTTATTTAAACTGTTTTCTTAAGAGAAAATACTGTCAGAATTATAATCACATGGCAAATATGACTCTGTTGCCTTTGACATTTTTTTATTACAAGAGCTTAAACAAATTCTGCTGTTTTACTTATATTTTGTAGGTTTATTTTTCGCTTGTATTGATTGCAAATGGGTATTCAATGTGATGCCTCAATTCCCCCAAACACAGTTTCAGTGCATTTATGGTTGATGTGTTGTTGATACATTCATAAAATGTTCAACAATATGGTAAAGGAATTGTGGTTTCATGGAAAAGATTGATCCAACTTTCTTTGCATTCTAAAAACCTATCTTATACATTTAAGTGGACTATACAATATTTATACCATAGACAAGGAGTATTTCTCAACTAACCTAAATGCATATGTTTTCTGATGCCAGCTGATTTGTCCTCGGATACTGTAAGCTATGGCGGTCACAAACTCTCCACCTAAACCTAGAAAGTAAACAAACAACAAAAATACTATTACTGATATGCTTTACAGGGTCCTATTTTCACTAACAACACAGTCTTTCTTATCTATAAATCCTAGTAACTCAGGTCTTGCTAATTATGTCACAATAAAGTCATTTTCAAACTTTTCTTTACTGGGGGATAAACACTGTGACAGGTATAGGTCTTTGCTCTTTGCTACTTTTGTCAAAAGTAAGTATTTATAATTTTTCTCCAACTAAATGAACAGAGAAGCACCTATGTAACACCAATTTTCCCCAGACAGAAGCTAGCAAGTGTGACACCAACCTACATCTGTTAAGTCAGTTAAACAGTTTCATCACACTAATTATTTCAAAATCATTGTAAATCACTGAAACATACCTAATTCTGCACACAGTTTAGTAGCAAATTGTTCAGGGCTGTTCTCTGGCTCTGATATGTCCCATTCAAACTGGTCCATCAGTGATATATTGCCAACATGAATATTCAACTGAAAATTGTACAGGAAAAATATGTTTCATTCTTTGTTTTTTAATACATGAATAAATATCTCATGCAACAAGATTATGTTTGTGTATGATAAATCACAATGTTCATCACATTATCAAGTATAAAACATGTCAAAAACATACATTCTTAATGGTTAAGGATATAAAGGGAATCTTCAGATCAGCTTTTTTTTGTTTAATTGGGTTTTACGTCACAATGACACATTATAGGTCATACGGCAACGTTCCAGCTTTGCTGGTGGAACAAGACCTCAGGTGCCCTTCCGTGCATTATTTCAGGCACAAACGGCACCTGAGTTGAACCAACAACAGTCCCTAAGCTAGCTGGATAGCTTCCTTACATGAAAGAATCAAAAGTACCTGTCGGGATAGCAGTGAAGGGCAAGTGGTTTGAAGTCAACGAACTTAACCACTCGGCCACAGACGCCCCCTTCAGATCAGTAAACGAGGGATGGCTAGTTTGATATTCTGGTGTGGGGAAATTTTTTTGTGAAATTAATATTGGATATCGAGTCAAATGGTCATTTGTATCTCACTGCTTATTCAGAAATCACATGGCATTAGTAATCTGCCACATGTGAAGAAATTGGTACCGGTAATTACTGGTAAGTTATTCACAAAAAATGGTTAGGTGGATTGACCACAGAAATATGACTAAAGTCAGTTAAAATAGGTGTATAACAAGAGCTGTCCGTAAGACAGCGCGCTCGACTTTTTTATTGCTTGCCAATAAAAAAAGTTTTTGCAGTAAAAGGCAATACAAGAATCTCTGTATTTTTAAAGTGGACAATGGCCATGAGCATTAAGATATTTAGTGAAGAATTATTTTACTGAATTCTCCTGGACATGTTTGGGAATCATGATTGTAAACAAGTATTCCAACTTTCAAATTAATATCTCAAACAGTTCAGTCAAAAAGTGGACTGGTACTAAAAACTTAACCAAGATTCTAAGTCGATAAAAGGCCTTAATTTTTAAAACAAATCCTTGACAGAGTTACCTTCTCTTGCGTACAGATGGGGGTAATGATGTGAAATAGCATTAAAAGTTTCAAAGCAATATCTCAAAGGGTTAAGGCAATAAGTGGATTTTACCCATATTCAATGTATTTTCTAAGTCAAAAAGGGGCATAATTCTGTCAAAAACCTTGACAGAGTTATGTCCTCTTGTCTGTTGATGAAGGTCGTGATGGTAAACAAGTATGGTCAGTTTCAAAGCAATACCTCCAATGGTTTTGAAATAAAGTGAGGTGGTACAAAAAACTTAACCAAGCTCAATACACTTTCTAAGTCAAAAAAGGGCCATAATTCTGTCAAAAACCTTGACAGAGTTATGTACTCTTGTCTGTAGATGGAGGTTATGATGGTGAACAAGTATGGTAAGTTTCAAAGCCATACTTGTAATACTTCTGAAATAAAGTGGGGTGGTACGAAAAACTTAACCAAGGTGTGACGCCAACGCCGACGCCGACGCCAACGCCGACGCCGACGCCGGGGCGAGTAGGATAGCTCCCCTTTTCATAGAAAAGTCGAGCTAAAAACAGATAAACAAACTGGATTTAGAGTTAAATCAATACAGACGCATTGCATTTTAACTACAGGAAGAATAACCTCACACACCTCTTCCAGCATTATTGGTATGACAAGATATTGTAATAAAGCAATGAATAGGCTATCCAGATAGCATCCAGACATGAAAAATCTTTTCTTTCCCCAATCCTTGCAGGCATGAGGAAGCAACCTTCACCAACCATAAAATAGGCTATCATTATAAAATATGAAGTATTCCTAATTTTATCAGACATTTATCATGTCATTACAAAATTAGAAAATGGTCTGCAACTTTACCTTTAAAATGACCCGTTGATCAAAAGGCGTTTCTTCCACAGGCTCTGGCTGTTCATTCTGATACTGTTCTAGTTGTGACCTGATGACCTGTGCTATTGCTGGTACAAAGTTTACAGGATTAAGGTCAAGGTCATCGCATAAAATCTCGGCAAACATTTCTGGTGAGATCAAGGTTTCTGAAATTAAATGAAATATGTGAAATGAACCTTTCATTTCCTTCAAGGACAATCATGCCTCAAAAATCCATTTTTTTTAAATTCTTTAGAAATGTCAAACATTGTAAAATAATGTTAAGATAATGGATTAAATGCATATAATATCTTTTACGACTGAAAAAAGTAGCACTGAACATGCAGTTATGTGTAGCAAAATGTAAACAATGTAGTATTTTGACTTCCATACAAAATACTAATTTGCTATAATTATAACAGAACTACAGATGTAAAAGATTGTTCATGTTCACAGCAAATGAGTAATTTTTGGAAACTGTAACAGGATAAAAAATTAATTTTTGAAAAAAAAAAATGATAGCATTTCTGCAATCTGACTAAAGTTCAGATCTTCTTATTTCTTACATGTAGATCTGATTTCCACCGCATTTGTTTCACCTTCATTGTCATTCAAAATTCTTGAGAAAGCTATTTTTAGCAATGCAATCAAACCGTCCTTTACAGATAGACATTAAACGAAATATGAAAATAACATTGTCTGTGGAAGTAAAACAAATTGTTGATTTTTGTTAGAAAAACAATGTTTGAAGTTATGTAAAAAATAATCAACTGGAAATAATAGACTCAATTTTTAATGGTCAAGATAGTTTTGCCAGTTTACCTGCCTGTTATATGCACAAGGCCATGTTTGTTCTCAAAATTGTGAAAATTACCTTCTCAAATTTTGATTTTTCCAGCAGTTAAAAATATAGAAATTGCATCGCTTTCAAAATTATGATAGCTCACCGATTATTGGCTGTTTAAAAGGATACGAGAAGGTGACCTTTTGCTGATCATCAGATCCTAAAGTGTAGCGTTATTAAGGAGCTGATTTTAATCAGATTGTTATTTCTGAGGCATAATGGGCATGTAAGAATTTTCAAGAGTATACTTTGGAGAAAGCTTCCACTTCTTAATGTGCATCAAATTCATACTTTTTTATAAACCTACATCAATTATTTGTACCTCAGATAATCTATAATGCAACAAACCATTTTTATTCCATGTAAAACAGTCTCTGAGTTTCTGTCCCTCGTACTCCATGTCCAGTCTGATAGGTACGAGGTTCTCCAGCTGGTTGGCATTCTCGTGATTCTGTGACGGATCTGAGTCATCGTAACTGAAAATATCATAAAACATATATTTCACAGCTGTTTAAAGATGAGAAAATGTGCAGCCTGACAGTTCTTCATCCCTGAACTACAGATTGCTATTAATCATTACCAGAAGAGCTACATTATGACTTATGGTGACGCATTTTCTTTACTTCCCAATTGCTCACTAATGTCAGATACCAAAGAAAAAAATATGTCATAACTTGTATCTACATTAAATTTCCTGGGTAAATCAACCTCTGTATTAATTTTGTGCTATCAAGATTATCTAATTCAATGAAAGACTTCAATAGGAGTACTTTTTTTTCTTTTAATAAAATGCTAAATGCATAATTCTGATGGTAAAAACAAAAATTTGATCAGTAACTTGATAAACTAAACAACAAGACCACAAATAAAGGAATTTTAAAGCAGCATGGCTTCAGATTTGTATTCCTTTTTAAGAAAAATTCATAATTGTTCTAATGAGTAAAATTTTGTCAGTTGTTCAAGTTATTATGAAAGATTTATACACTTTTTGAAACTATCAATAGACTTTTCTAGTGTTTTTATTAAAGACTTATCTATCATACCTTAAGACATGCCACTTTAAAGTCTAAATAGTAACAATTTGTGAAGTTGTAATTCTTTTTTTTTTTAATTTCTACTTCACCGGATCTCCAGTAAAACCATTTATTCAGAAAATCTCATTGAGATCATTTAAAATATTTATTTTTTTTCAATATGAGAGATAACTAAAGGATCAGACTTTAAAATAAGTTCATACTCAAACTTACCATGTTGGGAAGGTTCTCACTTTGGGTTTTCCCAATCTGTTTCTATTTATAGGTGTAGAACATGGTACTGCATCCAGATGATGTGAAGTGCTGGGAACCGTTGGTACCCATGTGGAACGCTTCTGCTTAGATTCACCTCTTTGTATAGTAACAAAATAAAGTGTTAGTACAAGAGAATAAAATCATGAAGGTGAACATCTTGAACCAACTTAATTTAGATAGTCTCCTCACCATCTGATAAGGTGTGAAGGAAATTGTTTAAAATTAGCTTCCTGCTACACTGTGCTGCCAATACCATGGGATTTTAAATAACTTCAAAAATTCAAAGTTCCCATTCTTCCTGACCAGGAGGTTTCAGCAGGCAAAGTTTCAATTAACTGATGCTTAACAATATTATAATGATTGAATAAGTTAAATATAGAGTTGAAAGCAATGTACAAGTAGGAAAACAGTAATTCATCCGTATTGTCTGTGTAATTAATTGTGCTAACAAAACAGGCAAAAGGCCCTTTTTCAAAGAAAGATAAAAAAAAAAAGAAGTTTCTACCTGCAAGTATTTTAGAAATCGATTTTATCACTAGTCATTAACTTATAATTATGTTTTCAATTATTTAAAAAATTCCACACTAGTCAAAAAAAGGAGAGCCAAAAATAAGCATAAAGGAGATCTAAAAGCAAAACATTGTAACAGCAATATCTTAAAATTGCGAAAAAAGCATTTATAAACACAAAATAAAATAAAATATTGCACGGCTGTTTAACCTTCTTTGTGATTCTATTTTTGATAAAAATTATTTTTATCACTTCATTTGGTTTATACAGAATTTATTTTAGTTCGATTGTATAGGAAGCTATAAGCTTATAGACACACTTTGAATCTGTTCCTGGAACCAACCAGTACTGAGCCATGAAGTTCTTGCTCAAGGAAACAACAACTTGCCCCCTGACAGGGTTTGAGCCTGTGTGGCTAGCGAACATTAGATTACTAATATGACAAGTTTAACCACTCGGTCATGCAGCAACTTGTTTAAATTGTTTAATGTTCATGACCTAACTAATAAATGTTGATAAAATATTGAAAATGAATAACATGTGTACAAAATATATAAATGAAATTTCCTATATCTAGTTACCAGTAGCAACAAATACAACATACAAATGTATAAACCATTCAACACACCATTGCAGTGTTCCCACTAGTATTTGAGAATCTCTATTTTCCCTATTTTACTGACATTTACCCCCCCCCCTTCCCCACCACCACCACATTTGCCATTCACTCTAAAATATTAGCCCCCCTTTCAACTAGAAGGCAAATGGCCAAGTGCCCCGAGGACTTTTTTACCCTCCCAGTAAGAAAGAAATAACTAAAACCCTTGAAAACTAAATCAAGTTAGTGGTAGTGTAAAAATATTTGGAGATTGTAATTTATTCCCACCAAGGGATATTTTGGAACACTGAATAGTAAATAAAAATGCAGCATTTACATCACCCTATTCATACCATTTTGACATAGCAATATCTTAGTTCTGGCATGCAACAATAAACAATAACAACATAACAGTTGCATGCAAACCATAATCTGAACTTTCACAGTGACGTAACATTGTAACCAAGCTATTAGTATAATTTTACAAACCTTAACCAGTATTTCAAAATAATAATTATTACCATAAGTAATTTAAATGAATCAAAGTGTATTAAAATACTGATAATAATAACATAGAACAAGAGGCCTATCAAAGAGCCTAGGCCTATCAAAGAGCCTGTATCACTCACAAGTTATTGTTAAGGAAAACAGATAGTTTCTGGCAAAGGACAAAATTTGTTACCCTTGTCATTAAAGTTGTATGTTGAAGATTACTAGACAATGTTACATACCTAGGCTCAAAGCTCTAAGTTTATGTAGTTACAGAGATTTGTGCATAAAATTAACTTCAGGGTAACTTGTTGTTTTTTTTTTGTTGGTTTTTTTTTTACAATCTAAGGCATGGCCTGCAGAATTTTAAAGAGACTAAGTACAAGGCCTAGCTAACTACAAAATTTTAGTCTTTTTTGTTTTTGTTTTGATAAAGTTTATGTTACCATCACAATGAGGCAATTCAGAAGCATGACTTCTTAAGTTTTGTAAAGAATCACTAGAAAATACTAAATTCCAAAGTTCTAAGCTCTGGGCCATGCATTTTAAGAATAAATTTTTTCTCTTACATTTCAATTTTTTAAAATTTATTTTAACTCCCATGAACATTTTCAGTATAGTTCAGTGTTACCAGTTAATGAACTTCTGCAGACGACAACATAAGGATCATTTCGGAGATGTTTCTGACTATCTAAAAGGTGATTTGACAGATAATGCTATTTATAGAAATTGAGGAAATCTAGGGTTGGCAAACACCAGGCAATCAATTTGTGCTAAACTGAGCCAAAACTAAACATGCAAGCCCAAATCTACCCTCTTCTTGCTAAATCAATAAGGCTGAAGCATCCACTTGCGCATGAAAGCATTAACTCATGCATGACAACATTGATCTACCTTTTGAACACAAGTTCACTAGAAACCCCAACATCCTTGTACTTATTTCCACCATTTTCAATAATATCATCTACTTCGGTGGCTTTCAGTAGGGTAATACTTGTCGACAGCGAATGCTGACCGAATCCCGCTGAAATAACGTACAATCATATATATCAGGTTAAGTTACGATTAACAACCATTGTATACCTTCTAATGATGGGTTCAGATGAAAAACCAAGCGCTTCCTTATACTTGTCGCCACCTCCCTCGATGATTTCATCAACCTCTGTGGCTCTCAGTAATGAAATGTTTGTAGCTAATGACTGTTGTCCAAAGCCAGCTGTTTATTAAATCATGTAAATAAAACTGTCAATCATATAAAGGCACCATATGAAAAGGGCGTCACACTTAAGAACCATACTCCTATGTACATGAACATGTATTGAAATAATTTTTTGTCATATGCATAGTTGTTACGTTTTTTTCCTTTTATTGTAATGAAACATAACACAGATGTGAGAGAAATCAGGAAAGAAAGAGCTGTCTGAGGCACTGCTCCACTTTTATTCCTCTCGATTTCATGACCAATTTATGTTTTGCTATATATATATATATACATAATGTACCAATGACCTTAATCTGTAAATGGGCAAGAAAAGTAGAAATAATCAAAATGCATCTACATGTTAAGATCCAGGGTTATAGCTTTGTTAGTTAGCTGTTAAGTGTTAAAGACCATAAACAAAAACTTAACCAAGATGGTTTACCAACTATGTCATGAAGAAAATTGTATCATTATTGCTGACTGTCATAGGATTATCATAATTTATGAGTTCTTATAAATTTATATTAATTATAACAAATGTGTTTGTGTACTCTATTTCAATAATAGCGATACACAAAATTGATAACGTAGTCTATTCATGTATTTCAAAATGAAATTTTATTATAAATAAGCTACCAATTTGTGCCAATTTCTTTCGTTCATCTACTGTGATTAGACGTCTCCACATGGATGGGAACCTCTTGTACAGAGAGCCTCTAAACATGCGCAGGTAGTTGCCAACCTATTAATAGAAATAAAAATAGATAGAAATTCACATACAATAAACTGCCTATAACAATTAAATACGAAATCCTTGCAAATTGTGTAAGTGACTTTAGTGTGAATATTTTTCTTAGCCTGTGACATTTGGCACCCAAAGGGGGACCATGACAGTAAATGCTCCGAATACATTTATATAATATTTGGTATATACAGAATTTATTTTAGTTTGATTGTGTAGGAAGCTATAAGCTTAAAGACACACTTTCGCATTCATCTTTGGAACCAACCAATACTGAGAAATGAGTGTATAGTTTCTTGCTCAAGGAAACAACGACTTGCCCCTGACGGGGTTTGAACCCAAGCAGCTAGCCATCATAAGATTACCAGTCCGACGCGTAAACCACTCGTCCATGACGCCGCTATATAATACAGGGAAGTCAAAGGCCGGGACTGCAAAGCGGACCCAGGATTTGGCTTGCCAAAATAGACTACATGTGTATATTTAAAAGAAAATCAAATAAAAAAACAGTTAAAGAATATAATTATTGAATTCTATACCTATCAATGAAATTTTCAGGGTCAGTTCTAGTCAGGCGCCGCTATTTTAAATGTAACTTAATGATAATATTATAATTAATAGGCAGGATATTGAATCAGGGTCAGATCGGCCCTAAAACGTACTTGTCCCCCGAGCCAGCTCGGCTCTATTCCAAGTCCGCACGGGTCAACTCAGTCCACTTTTCTATTTAATAATTTATTGGTTTGTTTTATCACTCTTTATTCAGGGATTTTTTTTGGCTTATTTCATAGCCGTTATTGGGTCATATTCCCAATTGAAAATAGTATATTATTTTCCCAATCCACAGGAAAGTATTCCCAATTGAAAGTTACGAAAATAAAAATATTGAATAAAGAATTATAAAATCTTTGAAAATAAAGGCTTCTTCACTGTAAAAGTGCTTAAAATGTTTTAAGATGCCATCATAGACAGTAATTGTTTGCATTCATTTAATCACTGCAAAATTTCAGTCATGCATTTTTTCCCAATTTTTAACAAAATATCGTTGAAATTCCCAATTCCATGGGTATGGGTTATGTTCCCAAAATCCTGGAAAAAATCCCTGTTATTGTTGGGTCCACATAATTAATATATGGACTTATTTACAAACGTGGAAAGATGTTTTCATAAATCACTGTAAATTATTACATTTTTTTTGTAATGAAAGAGTTTTCAATGATTTAATAAACTTATATAAATAGCAATTCATCCATGTGACATTGCAAAATACATTGCATGTTAATAAATGCATAACATTTGTTTTATGTATATAAGATAAAGAACATTTAAAACTATTTTATATAATTAATATGTACACGTTTTTATTTCATATTCTATCGAAGATTACTTTACAAACAAAAAGCATCAAAACTAATTTTAACGAATCTGCAAGAATGAACAAAACAAATTTCTTCGAAATATACTTTAATTCTACAGAAGTACTATGTACAGTCATATAATAATATCAATCTCCTACGCAGAGATCTCCCATTATCAGTACAATGCTGCCAAGGGAGGTAATCAATGTGAGGATATCTCATTTGAAACAACTTTCCTTGATAACATGCAAGTACAGTAATAAAAAAATCATTAAAAAGTGGGCCGAGTTGACCTGTGCCGAGTTGACCTGTGCCAAGTTGGTTTAGGGCTGAGTTGACTCTTTACCCAGGATATTCCGATAACAAACAATCGCAATTTTTTGGATTAGTTTATTAATCGTCAATTTTTCTGAATGAAAACGGATTCTAAAGCGGTTCATGAAATACTGAATGACAGCTTTAAAATGGAAAAATGTATGATTTCTTCACCGACTCTCCAGTTCATAGGCTTTGCCTAAAACTGAAATGTTCACTAATTCGCGGAGAAAATGTGTATCAGACCGTCTTCGTCACACAAGAGTAAGAAATTTCCAGGCATAACATATTCGAGACAAGAAAAACATTTACTGAAAAAAGCATACATTTTCTGAAAATAATTTCTTTGACCATAAACAGATAAACAGATAATTTATTTTTAAAAACAAACAAAGAACATCTCGGACAGTTATAAATCGCCTGCACTATCTTAAGCATTAACGGTTAAAACAGAAAACGTGGTCATTTATGACACAAACAGTAACTATTTACTTCAGAACCAATGTAATACGATTCTCCATTTTCTTCAAGTGCGAATGACTTCGGTTTATCGCCGAAAGTTTTCAATCTTCCACCCGACGCCATCCGAATTGGCTATCTATTAACACTTCAGGAACAAAATATCCCAACACTCGAGTGTATACAATGGCACAGTCTAAACGCTCACTATAATTATAGAGAAAGAGCGAAACACGGACGATATAAATAGCAGATGGTTAATTTGGCGATGGTAGCTTGATAATAATTGGATATAATGGCACGTGTTTTAATTTACAATTAAAATCCGTGATAATTGAAATCTGATAAATTTAGTTAATAGTGCTTTCAAAGAATTAAAAAAAGATTGAATTTTATGTCACTTTTATTACGTTTTATTATAGATACATTTATATTTTATATGATAATTCATGTTTGTTACTCCATTATCCTTCAAAAATAACTTTCTTCGTATAGATATTGCAATAAAAGGTAAGGGTAGTTATTATAGACTTTTTACGTCTTCATCTAAAACTTTTCTTACGTGCATATACAGTATAGGACACTCGCGGACGATAAAGAAAGTAAACGGACAAAAAAGCATAAAGTAAAAGTACTAACATTTATATTTACATTTTATTTTGCTGAACAAACATATATATCTTGTAAAAACGTCTATAATGACTTATTTAGTGTTCTCAAATGCTGGGATTTCAACATAAAGACAAGATGTATTATGCCTCTCAAGTGTTGGGATTTTAACATGTAGACAAGATATTTCTATAATGACCTTCAAATGTTGGGATTTCAACATGTAGACAAGATATATGTATAATGTCTCTCAAGTGTTAAGATTTAAACATATTGAAACGATATATGTATGAGTTCTCTGAAGTGTTGGGATTTCAAAATATAGAAAAGATATTTGTATAAACAAGATATATGTAGTATATCTCTCAAAGTTTGGGATTTTAACGTCTAGACATGATATTTCTATAATGTCCCTCAAGTGTTGGGATTTCAACATATAGACAAGATGTATGTATTATGTCTCTCAAGTGTTGGGATTTCAACACAGACACAAGATATATGTAATATGTCTCTCAAGTGTTGGGATTTCAACACATACACATGCTATGTATTACGTCTATCAAGTCTTGGAATTACCGGACAGGATATTTCTATAATGTCCCTCAGGTGTTGGGATTTCAACATATAAACAAGATATATGTATTATGTCTCTCAAGTGTTGGGATTTTAATGTGTAGACAAGATATTTCTATAATGACCCTCAAGTGTTGGGATTTCAACAAATAGACAAGATGTATGTATTATGTCTCTCAAGTGTTGGGATTTTAACATATAGACAAAATATGTATAATGTCTCTCAAGTGTTGGGATTTTAACGTCCAGAAAAAATCTTTCAATAATGACCCTCAAGTGTTGGGATTTCAACATGTAGTCAAGATATATGTATAATGAGTCTCAAATGTTGGGATTTAGACATATAGACATGATATATGTATTATCTCTCTCAAGTGTTGGGATTTCAACATATAAACAAGATATATGTATTATACATTTCAAGTGTTGGGATTTTAACATCTAGACATGATACTTCTATAATGTCCCTCAAGTGTTGGGATTTCAACATATAAACAAGATAAATACATTATGTCTCTCAAGTGTTGGGATTTTAATGTGTAGACAATATATTTCTATAATGACCCTCAAGTGTTGGGATTTCAACATATAAACAAGATGTATGTATTATGTCTTTCAAGTGTTGGGATTTTAACGTCTAGACATGATATTTATATAATGTCCCTTAAGTGTTGGGATTTTAACATATAAACAAGATATATGTATATTGAGTCTCAAATGTTGGGATTTCAACATATAGACACGCTATATGTATTATGTATCTCAAGTGTTGGCATTTTAACGTCTACACAAGATTTTTTTATAATGACCCTCAAGTGTTCAACATATAGACAATATATATGTATTATATCTTCTCAAAAGTGTTGGGATTTCAACAAAGACACAAGATATATGTAATATGTCTCTCAATTTGTTGGGATTTCAACACATACACATGATATATGTGTTACGTCTATCAAGTCTTGGATTTTAATGTCCAGACAATTTTTCTATAATGTCCCTCAAGTGTTGGGATTTCAACATATAAACAAGATATATGTTTTATACCTCTCAAGTGTTGGGATTTTAATGTCTAGACATGACATTTCTGATAATGTCCCTCAAGTGTTGGGATTTCAACATATAAACAAGATATGTAATACAAGATAATGTATTATGTCTCTCAAGTGTTGGGGATTTTAATGTGTAGACAATATATTTCTATAATGACCCTCAAGTGTTGGGATTTCAAACATATAAACAAGATAATATGTTTTATACCTCTCAAGTGTTGGGATTTTAATGTCTAGACATGACATTTCTGATAATGTCCTCAAGTGTTGGGAATTTCAACATATAAACAAGATATGTAATACAAGATATGTATTATGTCTCTCAAGTGTTGGATTTTAATGTGTAGACAATATATTTCTATAATGACCCTCAAAGTGTTGGGATTTCAAACATATAAACAAGATATATGTATTATGTCTTTCAAGTGTTGGGATTTTAACGTCTAGACATGATATTTATATAATGTCCCTCAAGTGTTGGGATTTCAACATATGAAAAGATAATTTGTATAAACAAGATATATGTAGTATATCTCTCAATGTTTGGGATTTTAACCTCTAGACATGATATTTCTATAATGTCCTCAAGTGTTGGGATTTCAACATATAAAACAAGATATATATGTATTATGTCTCTCAAGTGTTGGGATTTTAAATGTGTAGACAAGATATTTCTCTAATGACCCTCAAGTGTTGGGATTTCAACAAATAGACAAGATGTAATGTATTTATGTCTCTCAAGTGTTGGGATTTTAACATATAGACAAAATATGTATAATGTCTCTCAAGTGTTGGGATTTTAAACGTCCAGAAAAAATCTTTCAATAATGACCTTCAAGTGTTGGGATTCAACATGTAGTAAAGATAAATTGTATAATGAGTCTCAAATGTTGGGATTTAGACATATAGACATGATATTATGTATTATCTCTCTCAAGTGTTGGAGATTTCAACATATAAACAAGATATATGTATCATACATTTCAAGTGTTGGGATTTTAAACATCTAGACATGAGATACTTCTATAATGTCCCTCAAGTGTTGGGATTTCAACATATAAACAAGATAAATACAATTATGTCTCTCAAGTGTTTGGATTTTAATGTGAAGACAATATATTTCTATAATGACCCTCAAGTGTTGGGATTTCAACATATAAACAAGATGTATGTATTATGTCTTTCAAGTGTTGGGATTTTAACGTCTAGACATGATATTTATATAATGTCCCTTAAGTGTTGGGATTTTAACATATAAACAAGATATATGTATATTGAGTCTCAAATGTTGGGATTTCAACATATAGACAAGCTATATGTATTATGTATCTCAAGTGTTGGCATTTTAACGTCGACACAAGATTTTTTTTATAATGACCCTCAAGTGTTGGGATTTCAACATATAGACAATATATATGTATTATATCTCTCAAGTGTTGGGATTTCAACAAAGACACAAGATATATGTAATATGTCTCTCAAGTGTTGGGATTTCAACACATACACATGATATATGTGTTACGTCTATCAAGTCTTGGGATTTTAATGTCCCGACAATATATTTCTGTAATGTCCCTCAAGTGTTGGGATTTCAACATATAAACAAGATATGTAATACAAGATATGTATTATGTCTCTCAAGTGTTGGGATTTTAATGTGTAGACAATATATTTCTATAATGACCCTCAAGTGTTGGGATTTCAACATATAAACAAGATATATGTTTTATATCTCTCCAAGTGTTGGGATTTTAATGTCTAGACATGACATTTCTGATAATGTCCCTCAAGTGTTGGGGATTTCAACATATAAAAAAGATATGTAATACAAGATATATATTATGTCTCTCAAAGTGTTGGGATTTTTAATGTGTTAGACAATATATTTCTATAATGACCCTCAAGTGTTGGGATTTCAACATATAAACAAGATATATGTATTATGTCTTTCAAGTGTTGGGATTTTAACGTCTAGACATGATATTTATTAATGTCCCTCAAGTGTTTGGGATTTCAACATATAGAAAGATATTTGTATAAACAAGATATATGTAGTATATCTCTCAATGTTTGGGATTTTAACGTCTAGACATGATATTTCTATAATGTCCCTCAAGTGTTGGGGATTTCAACATATAAACAAGATATATGTATTATGTCTCTCAAGTGTTTGGATTTTTAATGTGTAGACCAAAATATTCTATAGACCCTCAAGTGTTGGGATTTCAACAAATAGACAAGATGTATGTATTATGTCTCTCAAGTGTTGGGATTTTAACATATAGACAAAAATATGTATAAATGTCTCAAGTGTTGGGATTTTAACGCTCCAGAAAAAATCTTTCAATAATGACCCTCAAGTGTTGGGGATTTCAACATGTAGTCAAGATATATGTATAATGAGTCTCAAATGTTGGGATTTAAGACATATAGACATGATATATGTATTATCTCTCTCAAGTGTTGGGATTTCAACATATAAACAAGAAATATATGTATCATACATTTCAAGTGTTGGGAATTTTAACATCTAGACATGAATACTCTCTATAATGTCCCTCAAGTGTTGGGATTTCAACATATAAACAAGATAAATACATTATGTTCTCTCAAGTGTTGGGATTTTAATGTGAAGACAATATTTTCTATAATGACCCTCAAGTGTTGGATTTTAACATATTATAAACAAGATGTATGTATTATGTCTTTCAAGTGTTGGATTTTAACGTCTAGACATGATAATTTATATAATGTCCCTTAAGTGTTGGGATTTAACATATAAACAAGAATATATGTATATTGAGTCTCAAATGTTGGGATTTCAACATATAGACACGCTATATGTATTATGTATCTCAATCAATCGTATGGCATTTTAACGTCTACACAA